ACTACCACTACCACTACCACAACTGCGACAGCCTGGTGCTACTGCTACAGCTTCTCCGACGAAGAGTCTTCCTCACAGCAAGACTTTCCTCACCCACAAGCAACATTAACAAAAGATGGTACTCGTAAGCGAAGAAGAATAGCCACTATAATTCGGTAAGACCCTCTCAAAAGAGCGGTGTTTGGATTCCACCGAGGCTCCTAGCTGGCTGCGACGCCCTCAACAACTCGATGTGACACGTGAGAGCAGCCACGCCACTCTATGGCATCCTATTACGACCCGGGCTCTGAGGCAAAGCTCTCAGGCTTGTTCTGTGGTCGTCCCTGCCTACTCGAGCAAGCTGTTGCCTCGGCGAGCCAGCTGGTTCTGGGTTCGGGGTTCTATCAGCTCGTCTTTTGAGCTGCTCCTTTTTTGGTCGGCCCTCTACATGCGCCCAGGCAACGCTTACGTGACTTTTCCTATGAGGTTGGACACCGGGACAGTGCAAAGAGAGCCGGGAAGATCTTTTGCTGCGATTCCTAACCTCGACAGTGCAGCCTTGAACCGGCTCCCCGTTCGAGTGCTCGCGAAGTCTATCCCGCATTCTGCCCTGCCAGCCGCCGCGCAGCCGCGCCCCTCTTAGGCCGGCTGAAGCAGGGGATCTCACATGCAGGTGTCCTGAAAGAGTTGTGAGGGAAACGGTTCGGCTGGGGTTCATGTTCTTTCCTGCTGATCTGTCCAGAGCGGGCACAGGGCGGTTTAGGTGTGCAGGAAGGGTGCAACTGGGCCAGCACCCGGCAGGTACTACTACCCAGCCTGGCACCTGGAAGAGTCCTGGAACTCCCCGGGTCAAGGCATGGAAGCCTTGGACTTTTGCCGAGGTCCGGAGTCGATCCAGCACTCCACGGAGGGAGTGCCCCTCTCTGGAAATCTCGGGGTCTGGGACTCGGGGGCTCTGTGTCTCTTGGGACTCCAGGTACTCGTCTCCTACGCCTCGCTACATGAACGCACCGCTCTGAGCGAACAAAAAGTGGACCTTCCCAGTTGATGACTGGATCCTTCGTTGGGCTAGGCGTTGAAATCCACCTATGGGACCATGCCCTCTGCGCAGCCTGCTGCAACGGCAACTGCGGCCTCACAGCCCACCACTCAGGCCAAACCCGCGACAGCGCCACATGGCCACATCTTGTATTGAACTGCTTCCCACATCTCGCCGCTTGAACGCGACCTCTCAAAGTCACAGTCAGGCTTGGACGGTCTGACTTGGAAGGGAGGTCCTTCAGAAGGTCAAGAGTCAAGGCTACAGTCCAATCGGAGCGCCGGCTCAAGACCTGTTCACTCTTCACATGGGTGGTTGTCAAAATTAGGGTCCCTTTTTGGGGTACCCTAAATATTAGGTGCCGTATTATAATAAGGACCCAAAAAGGGACCCTAATTTTGACAACTACCCACATGATGCCCGTGATTTGCAGAGGGGTGTCATTTCTGCAACGGGCTTGGGCCTTTCCGTACTTTTACGAATGAAGGCTTGGTCGGTGTAGATCAGTTCCAAACCTTTATATATGATATAACATAATATAACCCCAGAAGTAGGTTATGGTAGCTTACGGTATGCCTTATACCCTACAAACCTAGAGACTAGAGGCTATTCTTGAACCCTATCCTTTGAAAACTTTGTAAAATTCACCCTACAAGCTTCCAGCCCTCTACTGGGTTCTTGTTAAGGGATTTAATTTAAGTTACCATAATAAGGAAACCATATTATTTACTATAGATCCCTATTATGGTAACTTAAATTATTAAATCCCTTAACAAGAACCCAGTCTAACCTTATGCCAGAGATGACAGCCGGACAGGTATGGCAGACGGCTGCGCCGGCCCCGGCCTACACCAAAAGCCTCGCCCCTGGCCGTGGCCCAAATGTGCACTGGAAGTCTGCAGCACCTTCATGTGGGAGTGCGTTGAATATAAAACTGGTAACAGTAGGATCCGTATTTCAAGAACCCCTAAAAGAAGCTACGCTGTTTTGTGACACGACACGGGAGTACAGGTGTGTAAGCTGCCTGTTAGGCAGTTTCCATGGTGGGAGCCAGCAGACTCTGGCGCAGTACCTCAAGCAGGCCTTTTGTGGCAGTTTTGGGTCCTTGTCCAGGAGTTTGATTCAAGCTACCATGGAAGTGAACGCATCTAAGTTACACAATCCCATTGTTAGGGCAGCTTCAGTTAAGTGCCGCGAGGCAAGAACCCAGTTCTTTCAATATTGCAAGGATGGGGGCTGAACCCACGTAGGCCTTCGACGAATCTTGGCCTGGTTGGCAACTGACAAACTCTAGGGACCGATCCTCTCCGCGGCAGGTCCCCACACCGGGAAGGTTCCGAAACGCAGCCTGAGCCTTTACTTTCACTTTTCTGGGTTCTTCTTAAGGGATTTAATTTAAGTTACCATAATAGGGATCTATAGTAAATAATATGGTTTCCTTATTATGGTAACTTAAATTAAATCCCTTAACAAGAACCCAGTTTACTTTCACTTTTTGTGGCAGTGCAGCTCAAGACTTCATCACTGTAACCCCTTGGCTTTTTGCTAGTCTGTGAACCTTTCGGCTTCGTTCTGCCGTCTACACATCTCTGCCCGCACAAGGAGGCTTTCTACATGTGACCTGAAGCGCCCGGAAATATGGACCAAGGCGCCATCTGCAATGCCGACCACACTGGCCCCCAGCGGTTCAAGCTACTTGACCAGTGGCAAGGCTCGAAACCACGCCCCGGTTTGAGCAGTTCCGAGAGCAGAGCCATGACTGTTCCAGTTTTCGGATCCTGTAGGGGTTTCGTCCTGAAAAGGATTGAAATCTGCCCATTGCAGACAGGTCTTCTAATCTTTGTTTGGACTCTCCAGTGCCAGTCGTGGGATACTAACATACACAAACACTGTTTGGCTCTCTGAATCCTCGTGCTCTGGGGGCCTTTCCAGCCCTGAGACTTCCCCTCAGCTTTGTCAAGGGGCTGCTACTGCCTGGGCCCTTGCAACCTGTGCCAGGATTCGGCACCTACCTCTCTGTGCAGCACCGTGAATCGCACGAACCAGGCGGAGCTGTGGCTCGATGTGCTCGATGCTTTTAGAGGCGATGATCTCTGCCGTCGTCCATCATCCTCGTCATCGTCATCGTCATCGTCATCATCATCATTATCATTATCATCATCATCATCATCATCTTCTTCTTCTTCTTCATCATCATCAACATCAACATCCTCGTCATCGTCATCGTCATCGTCATCATCATCATCATCATCATCATCATCACCATCATCATCATTATCATTATCATCATCATCATGATCATCACCACCA